TGTTCAAATCTGTCGCACTTTTACTTGCATAAAGCAATCCAACAACATTCTTGTATAACATGCCTATATGATTATCGAAGTGGTTACAAGCAAAAGCAGTGTGCCAGGAGCACGGAATGTACAACCTTCAATCAACGCACCGTAGCCGAAACATAACTCTCACATGTCTAAGAAGGTAATACCGAAGAAAATATACTTTCAGCAAGGCGGAACTCAATTTTGGCATTTCCAGGACAGGAGTAGCGTCACAGGGGTTTTTTTTTTCTCAGGAGCCAGTATTACGTGTGCGTGTCCTCTTCATTCATTCCGCAAAAGGCGTAAAAACTTCTCAAAAAAATCAAAAACAAAATTATCACTTAAGCACTCAACAATCTCCAGTGATGCTCCGAACCAAATACTAAATAGCTCATTAACCGTACTAAAAAAAAACGCAAATAACTTTCGTTCACAGCTAATAACAATGAGAAATAAGACTGATAACAAAACTACGACAATGTGATCAACAAAGTAAAACGACCAACAAGAGAAGAAATACACAGAGACACATCAAATCAGGAGACAACGACTGCGCTGTATGTACAGCTGAATTAATTTTTTCCTCCCTTAACGAAATAATTTTCTATCGAATTTTGCTGGTGGTCGACAGCAATTCGAGGTTTTTTTCTCGCTGCTTTTTCCTTTGACTTTTCTTTTTTCTTCGGCCTTTTCTGCTCTGGGCTTCCTTCACATTTCATCGTTCTACCAGTACGAGTTTTTTCCCCGAGTCGTCTGAAACAACGCAATTTGCTAATTTCAAGAGAAACGTAAATTTTGTACAACATGCCTAAACTGAGAATTGTTTCAACTTCGCTGTGCATTTTCAATGAGATCTCAGCAAGAAAAAAAAGCCCTCTTCATACAAGGAAAGGGGAAAATACTGCAGGAACTGAAGATAAACAACGAATCAAAAAGCTGCTAGACAACATATTCGGAAGCAGAGACTGGCCCCTGGATATAAAATATTTTTCTTGAAAGATGAGTCAGATGAAAAAATAAAATATACCTCAAAAACTGCAATCGCTTCAAGAAACAAACACAGGTTCAAAAGATATAAACCTACAAAAGCGCATGACAGAAGTCTAAAGTAAACTGTAGTGGCAGGGCTAAGGATCAGGACAAGAATCCGAGAACAAATGGGGTAAACAGTAAAACAAACTAAAACTTTCGGTAGTCTGAATATGCACCACGATCTTGAGAATTTTCCATGTCTGGCAGAAATGCAAATTGTACGTCAACGGACCGTCAAACGAAGCAAATTCGCACTGTTGCAGATGTCCGCAAAATATGAAACGAAAGAACTGCCATCACAAAAAGGACAGCGTAAAAATGATAAAAGTTTAACTTAAAAATTTAACCTTTCACTGGGATATTCATCCAACGCCTCCCAGTCGACCAATTCAGCATCGCGATGGAAAGAGTCTGCAGAATTTTCCTCAGCGCATACACATGAAAAACTGGAGCCAGTTTCGCCATTTCCATCAAAACTATCTTCGGTGTCTGATGTTATTTCGCTGGTGTTTGAAGTTTTTATTTCGGAAGTGGTCTGCTCTTCTATTGCTGGTGCATAAGAAAATGACGGCATAGCACTGTCAGTTGATAAATCATTCATAAGTTCCGATGTTTTTGAATTTGCCTGTGCAGAGGTCCAGAATGATGGCAGTGTTTTCAGTGACGGTTTCGCCTTAAAAAAGAAAATTATTTGAATGAAAAAAGAAGGGAAAAACAAAGGCAAAAATGAAGAAAAAGGATGAATACCTTTTCTTCGTCCTCGAAAACAAGACGTGACAAGCGTACACCAATCAATCGTAACTGTCTGGGATTATTGTGCATTTCTTGTTGTACAATTTTTGAGCAAATGGCGTACAGTCGATCCGTGTCCGAAATTGTATATTCCACACTGAAGAGCTTTGGGACGAAGCTTTTCACCACATTCAATTGATGTTTTCACAGTAAAAATTTTTACAAACAGCAAACTCCAGAAAAAAAAAAAAACTTAATAAAAAGACTGAATAACTTCAACGGCGCTACGGGGTCGAAGATTCACAGCATTAAATTACGGTCGAAACAACTGAGTGAATCAAAGGAAGGGGGAAGGGTGTTGCACTGGAGGAGCTGAATCCCGATTTTTGACACGACAACAGTGCTACTTGTGTCACTACGTCAAGCGCGCCTTGATAACGATAAAGACTGGAATTACATGACAGGTAGACATACCTGGAACATCTCGTAATCACATCAAACGTTGTGTATTTCATTTTCACGGTAGCCGTACGTCCCCCTAGAATTCCGCGCGGAGATAACGATTCAATAAGTTCACAGCACAGTTTGCTTGTTATCTACAATAGAGCCCAAATGCTCAACTCCGTCATCCAAAATCTTCATCACATCTTTATTCTGTATCGAGATTCAAGGCATCCAAAGATGGATCATGCGAACACACTTTACCTACAGGAACCGCTTACAAACTAGATGATGGTTTCCTCCTGTCACAATTCCTTCAGAAGTCAGCTGAATGCGATCTCACTTTTTAACATAATGAATCTTAATCCACCAAAAAAAGTCATCGAACCGATGAGAGACTAATTTTCCACTAACGCTTTGTGCATCAGCATTTTTTCTTTTAAAACAAAAACATAAGTTCTAACAAATTAAACGCCCTTTCACGTATCAGTCCCTGAAATGATTTAAAATGTGCCGCGTGGTAAGACAAAAAATTTGATGTTACCTCAAGAAGAGTTTTGAGATCTGCAGTAGCATGAAATGTCTCCTCATTGCTGATGCTTTTTCGGCGTGACGCAGTTTCTTCCGATTCGTACACATGAAAGATACCAAGGCCAATACGCAAGAAATGCTCTGCATTATATTGCGTGAAGAGCAACGGAAGTAAACCACGCTGCGCATATAAGTCACCGCAACGCTGCAAACCGATCCCCTTCAAAATTGCTTCAGTAGCGGGTCCAATTCCAATCATCTAAAAAAGCACATATTTAATGAATGTTGTGCCTAGGCGCGTGTAGGCCACTGCGTTATGAGTACCATAAAAACAGTTGCACTGCCTCGTACAACGTGTCAAATAAGATGAGTGAACGATGATTATATGCAAAAAATTTTTGCCACTGTGAGTTATCAATTAAAATAATGAATGAACGGGAAGCATCCGCATAAAATTTTAGTTTCCTAGCTTCGCTGGTCCTTGAAGTTGAAAAGTCCGGATAGGCTCGAATACATACACGAACAGCGACTTCGACATTATGCGTTTTTGCATCGCATTTTGATGCGAAAACGCATGAAAATCCTTAAACTTACGAGTCTGCAGAAAGCCAAATCAAAGAATTAAATCGGTTTACCACTGTGAGAAGCTCTAGGTGTCAGTGAGATGCAGCCACGCTCTGAGTGCAGTCACCTACTTCGCAGGCCCACTGTTTACGCGCACCTACTACTCATCGGAGGTTTTCTGGAGAGTCGTCTTATCTCTGAAGAATACTACCCAGAATAAATCTTGCATAATTGCCCGAAAAAGACTAGTTCTAAAGAGAACCATGCGTTGTTCGGATAAAGCAACAAACCTTCCGCAGTGGAAGATCTTTTAAGAAGGCCAAAACTGCCTCTCTTTCATTCATCAAACGAAACTGTCCATTGGGCTTATTGATGTCAGAACATACTTTAGCTAGCACAGAATTTGGCGCAATTCCTGCAAAATACATTGCCTATGAAGTCAGAAAGAACCCAAACACTCATGGAAAAATAAAGCTTTACCAGCACTGCAGGTCAAGCCAGTTTGTTGTTCTACTCGAAATCTCATCTCGCGAACAATCTGCAAGAACGCGAAAATAAGCCCAAAAACGACAAGCACAAG